TACGAATTGGTCGTGAGATAGTGTTGGATGCGCACATTTGTACTGTAACGTGCTGATCTACCCAGCGGTCTCATAAAACGTTAAAAAATGTCAATGTCTGGGAGAAAGAGTCGTAGAGTAAGTTATGCATATGGATCTGAATAAGATTGATGATGCAGAAAAGGATTTCTGTCCGCTCACACCCGACGCCCAGCCATGCACATAGACACCTATACAGCGTGCGAGTACTGAATGGTGTTCTCTTTCGTGTCTGAATGGACAAATACACACAACATTATGTCTAAATGTCCGTTTTGGAGAGTATTCATGTAAACTATGTCGGTTATGTCTTAATTAAACAGTTGTGAGTGTATCAGATGTGCATCAGTGCAATTGGATCCGCATGTCATTGGACATGATCCGATGTCTTAAAGTGACAGTGGGTAAAAAACCTAATATTATATATTCAAGCGACAAAAGAAAAAGAGAAAAGCATTCACTGTTTGTTAATAGCTTTAATAAGGATTAATTATATTTAATTCATACAAATAAATATGTCTACTTGAAAGAATAAAGAATGATGTATGCAAGCAGTTATATAAAGAATACATATATCGTTCATTGAAAAGAAGACGATGGAAACAAAGCACAACTACCGATCAAAATCAAATTTTACTTAAATCATTCTATAACACATCATATAAGAGAACATATATGCGAGTTGTTGCAATCTATCTGTAAACTTATCTTTGAAAACGATGTTTATCTAAAAAGTGTTTCAACTGTCCCGGCTCTCCCCTAACATACATAGCCCAAAATGATCGTATAAGCCTAGCAAGAGCATTTTAATGAAAACTACTAAGTTAGATAAGCCCAAACCACACAGATAGCATCAGCAACAGGCATGTTGCCTAGCTTTTAGCAATGAGCATTAAAAAGGAACTTAGCTTAGCTTTGTGAAGACTTTCAGAGATAATTGAAGAGTGAATCACATGTAGACACGCAATGAAGACTGAGGTCACTTCCAAATCACGCAGTTTATGATCCTTGCTCTAATCTCATGTTCAAATTTATGAATTTGAATTAATCTGAGGTGAAATTCCTCTCGCTAAATTCCTGGTTGGTTTAGCCCTTTGACACATTTTGTATCAGGGTCTCTGCTCGATGTCTCTGGGCTCCTTGTCCTGAAAAACGTTGAAGACCTCTTCCTTAAAGATAGATAGACTAATGAGGGAGCAACAAGAACACCATAACTCAATCATTTGATCAAAATGTTTGATCAAAACTACCTATTTGACATTTTTGCATTGATGTTAACTTATCCGCAAAAAATGACCCCTAACAGCCCATCATAGTTCAGCATAATAACTTATGTGAATGAGTGGTTATGAAAAATAGTATGTTGATGAATTTGTAGCATTAGCATCTGACCTTAATGAGGACAAACCCAATCGCAGGCAGCAAATAACTCACACAGGGTTTGAAAACGAAACAGAAAACAAAACCCACAATGGGGCAAAACAAGGCAGGATAGACAATTCTAGACTAATACTCAGACTGTAAACTAACAACTAAGACAGGATCAAACACTTCTTTCTAGAAGAGACTTTCAACAGATTACTCACGGTTTGTTTCACACAAAGTATGACAAGGTATGATACACAATGGACCGACACAGGACCGCAAACACAAGGGGATTAAATAGGAATGAGGCGAACAGGTGACAGACTTGGGACGAGGAATCCGGGCAAGCTTGGACGAAGACACACAAGGTGAAGAAAAAGCCTGGTGTCTTGCGGAGACAGGGGCGATCGGGGAAACAGACTGGGGTTTAGTGATGACTAGGGATGGGTATCGTTAAGGTTTTATCGGTATTACTACTCTTACCGATACCGCTTATCGATCCGGTACTTTAACGGTATTCTTATCGGTTCTTTTTTTTTTTTTTTTTTTTTTTTTTTAAGAATTAAGAACATAATTAAACTCTATATTTTGAAATGTAAAATAGAAAAAGCAAAACGAAGAAAAATATATTTTTGTTATGCAGCAATGTGCAGGCTTTTTTGTTTTATATACAAAAAGAACACATAAGAAAAAAACAAGTACAAACACAAGAATAAAATCAATCAAAGATACAAATTATATACAAAAGTGCTTTAATTTCAGGAAGGTGTACTAACATATCTTTTCAGGTAATTGTTTCTGTTTGAAAAGAAACCTAATTTAGTAATCAAATATAAAATAGCACTGTATAGTATAGTCATAGATAGATTAATGCTTATTAAATCTAAAGTTACTTATTCAAAAGCTGTGAGTGATTTTCTCTGCCTTTTGTTGTTTGATTTGTATTAATGGCTGAATCGTCAGCAGGTTTAGGCTATTAGACTGCTGCCCCTTTAAGACCGAGAGCAAATCTAATCGGTAACCGGTAACTGAAGCACCATCAATTTCTCCCTATTATTTACGTCCATTTAAGACATAATTGTGTTTAAGTGAATAAACTGTGTTTAAGCGAATCTCAGAGCTGGTCATTTTGACATTTGTATGTATATTTGATAGTTAAGGAGGACACACGAAGCCCAAAGTATAGGCTACTTTTCTTGTCTCGTTGCAGTCCGTTTCGGAGCGCGCACCGCCTTGTGAACAGGCTCTTGCGCAGGCTTTTGTGTTTTTAATAGCCATTTTTTGATCTTGCAACAGTAGAAGACAGCATTTTGCAACAATCGCCGATCGTGCTGATTCTGAAGGTACGTTAGGAAGAACTGACAGCGCTCCGCAGTGCTGTGAAGTAAAGGAAGTTAAGCTGGACAGATCATGCGTCTTGTTTTTTAACGGTTTTATCTCAAATATCTTCTTTTTATAATCTTTGGAAGCCTAAATACAAAATATATTACAATAATATCCCACATCTAAAGTGTAACCACGTTGAATGTTTAGTTCTGTCCTCATTGTCACTCATTAAGCAGGGCTGTCGTGTTGCGCGTGCTGTGGCTTTGCGTGAGAGATCGCTCTCTCTCTCTGCTAAACTGCGAATTTCAAATTTGCATCACAGACAAATGGTTTAATTAAAATATAGTTTATATATAGAAAAGGCTGGCGATATAAACATGTTCAAGATAACGTCTTTATAGGAATGATAAATAATTTCTCCAGTACCGACAGCCGAACCGATAACGTCCGAGCTTATTGATACAGCGGTCTTTCAAAATTCAGCACCGGGGCCCGTTTAATACCGGGTTTCGGTACCCATCCCTAGTGATGACAGGGGTGGCCGGCGAAACACACGGGGTACTGCAGGCGACAGGACAGGAACCTTGACGGGGGAAATAGTCCAGGGACTAGTGGAGACAATGGAGGCCGGGAAAACAGACAGGGATACTACATTAGTAGCAGCAGCAACAGACTCAGACACAGAGGATAACGAAATGAGACTCCTGACAGGGGACATGGCTAGCGAAGGTGCAGGACACATGACAAGGGGTGTAACAGATGATAGTGGAGCTGGAACAGGGACAGAGATCACGGAAGATCAGGAATCGACGCTTCTCACTTCAAATTCAGTTGAGGCGTCGAAGGTAGCTGACTGGGGATCAGAGCTGTTGGCAGCGGGCTTGGGATTGATGCTCTGTGCAGCAGGCTTGGGATCAGAACTTACGGAAACAGGTCTGGGAACGGTGCTCTCTGGAGTATTTGGAACAGGGACTGGAGACAAGGCATGGGACTGACTGAGACACCTAGAATTCTGACAAGACATGATAGATTCGGACAGGGTTCTGGCAGTTATGAAGAGTGGCATCTCCTGATGGACTGATATGGACTGTATCACAGCCTTTGCAGCGGAATCGGCCTCTGCTTTCTCTTCAGCTGACATGACTAAAGACTCACATACCCCTTTTCCACCAAAAAAAGAACTGGTTCGGAACTGGTGCTGGTTCAAAGTTGGTTCGGAGTTGGTTCAACCGCTTCAGAACCTATTTGTTTTTCCACTGACTAAAGCGCCCAGGGAACAACGTTGTTACGCCACTGTGTACGTCGCCATTCGTCTTAGCTAGAAACGCTTGCAAATACAACATTACTTTCGGATTATCTCTAACTCGTGTACCAAGAAAGCTTTAAAAACAATTGAAATATGTAAGTCTTTTAATCTTTTCCTTTGATATGTAATTTTTTCTGATAAGTTATGTACCCCTGTAATTGTGTCTTTTCTTTCCATTTATTTGTTCTGTATTGTGACTTTTCTTCTTTGCTTATAATGTCTTCAATGAAAAAATTACAAAAATAGAAACGCTTGCGTTAACTTCAAGCATAACAATTACGAAGGCGGACTCCATCGTGTTTCTGCAAATGTTTCTCTTGGCTTTGCGATCCTTTATTATGGTCAGAAAAGATGTTTAGAACACATCTAAACACGCCCCAGCCCCCGACGTAAGCATGACGTGGTAAAAAAACGGTTCTAGTCCAGCAAAGAATTGGTGCCGCTTGGGAACCAGTTCTCCTGGCCGAGAACCGCTTCTTTGGCTGTCGAAACACAAAGAACTGGTTCGTGCAGGGGACCGGCTCTCAAAATGCTTTGGTGGAAAAGGGGCTACAGATGACATTAACAGTACTAGTCTCTTGGAAAAGGGGCTACAGATGACATTAACAGTACTAGTCTCTTGAACGGATCTCTCCAACGCCGACTGGGAAACAATGCTTTCTGCAGCAGGTTCAAGAACTGTGTCTCCTGTTGCAAAGACAGGAACACGCTATCAGCATCTGGGCCAGGAATAGCACTTTTGACTTCAGCGGCAGGTTGGAGAGCCATCGCGGACTCAGGAGGAGGTAGAGATGGAGAACCAGAAGCTCCCTTCTTTCTGGGTCGTGGAGTGGAGATCGTGGCCAGACTAGTAATCGGAGAGGGAGGTTGAGCAGGAACCGTTACAGGAACTGGGAATCTCACAGCAGGTGAGGAGGATTCCGGACAGAAAGACTCTGATGCTGACTCCCACGACGGGTGCCTTTCACGCTTACCATGAAGATTGATGGATGTGGAAGGTGTCTCAGGAGTCGCAGTGGTACTGGGTTGGTCCCCGAGTGTAGCAACGGCTAGCAGACGACCCTCAGGGGTCACAGGAAGTGTAGTGGAAGATGAGGACTTTGTAGCACCCTACAGCTCCCTCCGAGACAGACTGTCCAAGATTCTGTGGAACGGGCGGCTGACCAGTCTCTCTCATTCAGCGAGAGGAGGAGGGACGTTAAGACCCGCGATGAGGTAGTAATTGACGCCGGCAAGAAAAACCTCCTCTCCTCCGCGACCTGGACATAGCTCCTCAGGGTCAACTTACCCTGAGGAGGAAGAGGAAGCTTGCTTTCTAGGCTGTCAGCGATGGCCGTCTGCCACCATCGTTGGGGTCTGACGGCTGCAGTGCAGTGTAGAAAAAATAGTTGCGCTGTCTGCTGGGGTTTTTCTTGGTTGGTTTCATTCTGTTATGTGGATGAAGGACGAACCCAATCGCATACAGCAAATATCTCACACAGGGTTTATTAATGACAAAAACAGAAAACAAAACCCACGATGGGGCAAAACAAGGCAGGATGGACAATATTAGACTAATACTCAGACTAACAACTAAGACAGGATCAAACACTTCTTTCTATACAAGACTTTCAACATGGTTTGTTTCACACAAAGTATAACAAGGTATGATACACAATGAACCGACACAGGACAACAAACAAGGGGATTAAATAGGGAGAAACTAATGAGGGTAATAGGTGACACAGAGGTAATAATGACAAGACGAGGAACTGAAATTTAATGCACAATGTTTTGTTTGCCAATTTTCTTGATTTGGCCAATTGATATTTTAAGGATTAGTAAGCAGCAAAGAGCAAGCAAGCAAAATTTGGACTTTTCTTCGATCAAACAGTTGAATGGTGATATCCTTCGCCATACGGTGATATAATAATGTTGATATTTACATTGTTGTTTTTTTTCGTTTTTTACTTGTAGAAAAGTTTATATACAAACAAGAAAATCTTATTCTCATTTAGTATATATAAATCATCAGTAATAGTAAATTAAAATCAAATTATAAACAAGAAATCAGAAATTTTAATTTCTTTCTTTAAAATACAAGACCAACCAGAAATGTAATTTGGTTTTGACTATAGGTCTATTAAACTTAGAAAAGAATGCATACATAATTGCAAGAACTGAACAAGAACAAGAACTGGATTTTCCATCCAAACCAGGGCCCACCCATCTTACTCCTTGCAGGAGTAGTCTTGTTTGAACCAGTTTGGTTCTGAGACTGAATTCAGTTGAGTCATTCCCTCTACCATCAGATTCCAATTCCCAGCCGAGTTTAATCCCAAATACACCCTTCACGTGAGCATTTGCTGAAGACAGCACCACTGACTAACCATTAATAATTTAACTGAAGGATTACTCTGGTGCCTGCTTCATGTTTGGGTGTGTTATAAAGGTTCAAATGAGCATAATCTTCACTTTTCAACTTTTTGTTTGTTTAATATAGGTATTTGACATTACAATATACAAAGTTACAGTCAGTAGAATGTCTGTTGAGGGAGCATCAAAATAGAGGGTCAGATTAAGCAGACAGTCTAGTAATACTCTAATGAGAGATACTTGTAGTTAGTAGAATGTCTAAAGTAGACCATAAAAAATAAAGTGTTATCAAAATTTTTTACAATAATACTGCATGCTTGTAAAACCAATTGGTAAATTGATCTTTACTTGAAGAAAACAAATCAACACAATCACAATTACTTTGTAATCATCCTTATTTATAATTGACATGCAATTATATATATATATAAACATAAATATTATTATAAAATAATATTAAACATCTAGTATCATCATTAATGTATCATCATCCATAAAAATCATAATAAAACTGAAAAAAATCCTAGATAGAACAATAAAAAGTAAAAAAAAAAATGTTACATAACACAAGAACTGAATTATTCATTCATTTATTATTATTATAAATAAATAAAGGATTGCTCTAAAAATGTTTTTTTTTTTTTTTACATTGTAAAACAGCTAAATATTCTATTTCACATACTTTTAAATACATGTTTTTTTCCACATTAGACACTCATAAACATGATCAGCCAATGAGAATAACTAAAAGATATTTTAGACTGTGGGTTGTTTTTCCTTTTGCGTAGAAGACATTGGAAATAAAAAAAATGGCAATATGGAGGCATAGCAGGGCCGTAAACACAAACAGCTATGCCAACATCTTGCCATATTTTCTCTTCCGAACTGAAAACCTCGCCATCTCCTCTAGACCTGATGAACAACTTCACAACAAATCAACAATATTTGTACAGCTGTAAAACAGTGTTTATGTGGTAGCAAGCAAAAAATAATTCTATTTCAATTATGACAGAATCAATCAGACCAGTGACTCCAAAACAAGAATAGGCCTAATTGAACAGGTTTAAGGAGGTACTGCTTTTAAAGGTATTCGATTATTTTAATTTAAAATATCTTACAAATTATCTTTTGTTGACGATTTAAGAAATTTTAAGGAAAAACAGATAATATATGCGTTCTCAATTTGTGTGGGTGATACTTGTAGCACAATATATGTACACACACACACACACACACACACACACACATATATATATATATATATATATATATATATGAAGAGTTCAGATGCAAAAGCCTCTAAATGCCATTTGAAATTTTCTTCTTTAATGATGATTTTTATCAAGCTTGTATATTTAAGTTCAGAAATTTCACTTAAATAACAATTAATAGGTAATTATCATTGCCATTTAAGTGAAATCACTGAATTTAAATATACAAGCTTGATAAAAATGATCATTCTAGAAGAAAATTTCAAATGGCACTTAGAGGCTTTTGCATCTGAACTCTTCATATATATATATATAGCCTATGCAAATTTAGAGTGCAATATCTTCATTTCTTCATTAACTTTTTTTTGTGGAAAAACACAGGCTAAACACTAAAACATCTTTGCCTGTTGATTAATCACAGTTCATCAAGATAATTGTTTTGTGTTACAAGTTTTCTGAAATGGTATGTTTGAAAAATTAGACATTGTCTGATTATGCACTGAGAGCATACATTTCAACGTTTCAAACCAAATGTGGGTCAAATGTGGACAAACCCAGCCGTGGGTGGCATTAGGCACAGCATATACCTTTCAACGTTTCAAACCAAATTTGGGTCAAATGTGGACAAACCCAGCCGTGGGTGACATTATTAAATTAGACACACTTTTAAATGGACGTTTAGGGTTGTCCATATTTGACCCAAAATTGGGTTAAAAACAACCCAACAGGTTTTAGAGAATTGTTTTAGAGTAAAGAAAAACAAACAAACTTAATAATAGAAATTAAACTGGAAGTTTTTTTCTGGCTTAATTCTGACTGAGAACAAGCCTTTCCCCCCCATAAAGTGACAATTGTAGGCAGTAGGCCAAATTTAAAAATAGAAAAAATAAAAATAAATAGCCTAAAAAAGAAAAAAATAATAATATTTTTGAGAAATTCAACTCAATGGATAGAAATACAAATTAACTTACCAAGCAGCTTTTGAGTCTGAAAACGTTCTGCTGCTATAATCAAACTGTTCCATGTCGTTTCTGCTGCCGAATCCGATGTTTCAATAATCTCGCAATCGCTCCAAAGGTCCCGCTGTAGTGAATCGAGCTGTTGCTTTGAAGGGCTTTTTCCACCGAATGAGGTGAGTCAGCAAACTTCGAGATGGTTCAGGTGTGTTCAGGTAAGTGTCAGCGCGTCGTCACCACAGCGCCGCGCCCACCCATGGTAAAGGAGAATAATGAAGCGCGCACGTCAGGCGTCAAAGTAGCCCGGCATTCAGGTTACACTGGCTCGAAGATGATTTTCAAATGCTTTTAAACGCAAAGCAATGTTCGGTTCATTTCATTCACGTTTGTGTGAATCACGCGAGGTTTCGGTCTGGACGGGGTCCTGCTGCACCTCTTGGGATGTGAGCTAGACTCTTGGAGAGGTCTCGTGCTGAGTCAGGCTCGATTTTACGGATGAATCATTTAATAATTAGGTAGACTTTCCGCTTTTTTTTCTTTTTTTTTTTTTTCCTGACCCGATTCTTTGTCACTCACTTATAGGCTATGCATACACACTTTTTAACGAGTGGATCACATATTAACAGTCAGTCAAATCTATATGTTAATGTCGAATAGGCTATAGCCTAGCCTATAGATTTGTATTATTTGTTTGTTTTTATGTTAAAATCCGTGTCCTTATAATTAGCTATTACACAAGTATTGCCTATACCGCTATGTGGTGGATTGACGACAAGGCAACACGTTTCAAAATGTTCCCATTTGTTTACGGTGATGTAGCTATTTGACACATGTCTCAAAACCTTCATTTTATTTATTATGAACGTTTGTTAATAAAAAAAGAAAGAAAATTGGCTACAACTGTTCCCAGGCGGCGTGAATAATATTATTGATATTATGTAAAATGGATACAGTGAAAAATAATATATGTAGGCCTATTAATCTTTTCTTAATATTAATCTTGTTTATGTTAATTTTAACATTTAGGCTATAATTAATTATTAAAATAAATGGTTATCTGTTAATATAATTTAATGGACCTTACTAACATGAACTACAAGAATATTTACAACAATTAATAAATAGGCTACTGTTACAAATGTATTGCTAATTTTTATTTGTAATTGAAGTTAACTAATGGGACGTTGCTGTAAAGTGTTACCAATAATATATACAACTTTTGATTTTAATAATGCATTAGTAAATAATGAAATTAATACTAAAGGGGTAGTTCACCCAAAAAACTAAATTTTTGATTACTTATTTTTTTCAAACCTGTAAGAATAGAAATTCTTACAGGTTTGGAACAACTTGAGGGTGAGTAATGCTATCGTTATATTTTTTGGGGGGTGAGGTCTCCCTCATTAAGATTATTCAACAATTTAAAAGTATTTGAAGAGTTCAGATGCAAAAGCCTCTAAATGCCATTTGAAATTTTCTTCTTTAATGATGATTTTTATCAAACGTGTATATTTAAGTTCAGTTATTTCACTTAAATAACAACTAATAGGTAATTATCATTGCCATTTAAGTGAAATTACTGAACTTAAATATACAAGTTTGATAAAAAATCATCATTAAAGAAGAAAATTTCAAATGGCATTTAAAGGCTTTTGCATCTGAACTCTTCATTTTTTCATTGACAGTTTGTATT